GAAAAGGAAAAGGAAAAGGAAAAGGAAAAGGAAAAGGAAAAGGAAAAAAGATGCTTTAATTGGAGAATATTTATGCATGGACAATTTGAAAACACTCAGGTAACATTATAACTGAATTACCTGACTCGCTCTTCACAGGAAACTAAGCTATAGCAAACCTCCATTTATAGCAAAGCAAATTAAACTCACTAATTGTTTCATGTGTGCAATGTGGGAATTGCGCTTTCATTTATAATGAATCTTTGATTACACCACAATTATTCTGGCAGGAAAATGTCTCCATTTTCAGAGGCTTCTGCTGTGTTTTCAGACTGTGCCCACGTCTGCAGTAGTTTTTCTTTTTACATTCCTTGACTAGCATTGTGCAATCAAATCTCTTTAGGCTTTTCCAGAATTGTGATTCATATTGCCTGACTCTCAAAATCCTGACAAATCCAACAGAAATGCTCTTCTTTTCACGGAGCTAATACAGATGCAGTGTTATGGAGAGCATAGTGACTCCTGACTGTTCTGTAGTGAGCTCATGCTTTTTACTTTGTACTGCAGATTTTTGCACTTGTCATGTCCTCTAATGCTTCTCCTCTTCCAGCAAACCACTGTTCCCTTGTAGAAGGTGTTTCTACTGCTTGCCACTCAAGCTTCTCTAGTAATTGCCTACTGAGCGTATGTCTGCTCTGAATATATGGAATTAAAAAACAATGGAAAAACCTTCATGAACTTATTCCTAAGGTAATTAAATGCACAAACCACATTCCTTGTGACTTTCTCCATCCTGTAATGCATTTTTCTTCATACTCATCCATGAAGATCAACTGATAATGTGGATATCAATATAATTTTGCATTCTACAGTTGTTGGGATTTCTCCAATATGTTTGCACTGGTGATTCAGTGATTTAGGACTCTAAACAATTTGTAGCAGGAATCTCATTTTCTTGAATTTCTTTTCCAATACCTACACACCTCAGTGCTTTACACAATCATACACAATAATAATAACCAGAAGTTTACCAGTTCTTCCCTTTGCAATTTTTTTTTAATGACCTCTCCTATCACAAGTGAATCCTGTAGCTATTGGGTGGTATAAGAGAGGAACAATTCTACACCTGTCATTCCATAGAAAGCTTAAGTAGCTATACATAACATGATGAAGGAAGAAGCATTTGTAATGAATGTCAGCAGATTTGGGCATGAAAGAACTGACAACACTGTGGAATTGTAGCCCAAAGCAGGGAAACTGCTGCTGAGACCAAAGGTGTTGTTTATATGTCAGTGATACTAGGACTGAACTGTGAAGTGAATATTCACATCACTGGCGTGAAAAATATTAAATTTCCTCAAGATCAACTCTGTGTAGTCTGAAAGTGTGAGGAAAATGTGTCAGGACACATTTTCTTTCTGTGTGTACTTTTGTGAAATGAAACAGATTTCCAAGATATGAGAAAATTAACACCTCCAAACAAAGCTGTTTTGCCAGATGACTTCAGCTGTTCCATATTAACCACTATTCCACAATAATACTTGCATTTTTCTGAGTAACACTTGTAGGCATCAGTAGTAATATGTTTCAGTATCTAGCTAGCATTACTAATGAATTGTTATGTGTGACACACATCTGCACAGAAAAATACCATATTGATAGACACACACACAAAAGAAGTCATTTTAACTTGTATAATTTAAAAGCTTTTTCTGCTTACATCTTATCAGAATTAATTGCTAGGCAGTCTGTGAAAGACACGTTTCACCACTCATGTTATGAGTCTCCTGTGTGACATGGGCATTCACTTCTTCCATATATTTCAAGAGCACTGCACTGAAAAATATGTGTCACTGCTTTATAACCCAGTGTTCTCAAGTGGAGAAACTGGTACATCTAAAACTCTGTTTACTCCTACAGAAGATGTGCCATCTTTGGGAAATCTGAGTGCTGCGAGATTTTGGTTCAACAGCAAAAAATAATCTGTCTTCAAACTTCTTTCTTATATTTTGTATTTTTTACTATTTCTGTGATGGTCTTTCAGTGATCTTATGTTTCTCTCAGTTCACTTTCAATAATTCTGCATGAATTAAGTATGAATTCATGGCAAATATATCTGCACGTCCCAGTATGTCATGGAGTTTCAGGTAGGCTAAAGAACTCCTTCAATCAGTTATAAGAAATGCTTACGTTCAGATAAAGAAAAAATATTCATTAACAGTTAGCATTAGTACTGAGAAACATCCCATAATTGATTATGTCAAATAGCTTTCTTGATCAAATATACAGAGATATCTGATGACACTGGAAAAATATAATTAGCAAATTTGATTGTAATCTATATAATCCATCCCAAAAATCATTTAGATAACACCTTAGGAATCTGAAGAGAATTCTTATGATGTTAGAATGTCATAAGCCAGATATCAATATGAAAGCCATTAAAAGAAAGAAAGATAAAACTAATTAAAGCATTTCCAGTAAAAGGCATTATTTATTTCAAAATTTCATATGTCAAAACTGAAACTGTTCACTCAAAAAAAGGTTGATTTTAGTGAATTTTGTGGTAATTTAAATTTAAATTGTCAAAATAACCCTGATTCGTTAGAGGAAAAGTCTTCTTTTCTGACATAAAATTCCTTTTTTTTCCTCTCTTGAACATTTTTCATTAATGCATCATTAAACAGATTTAAACAGTAAATCATCAGAAAAAAAATGATTTGATTGCAACAGCATTTTTTTATTATTATACACAGAATTTCCTTTTTTTCTCTTTGCCCTGAGTCAGCTTTGAAATCTCAAAAATTCCTCCAGATGAGAAAACTGCATTGCATTCAGCTCTTGACAAATGTCAGTATTTGATTATCTCAGCACACTGTACTTTTAGTTTTAGTTTGGAGTCACAAGACAATGTCAACATCATGAAACTTATGCAAAATTTCCAGCTATTTCCTTTGGAGCATATTTTTCACTGTTTCACTTTTTTTTTTTTTTTTCAAATAGATATGTTTCTAATGTTCAGCATTTTGCACATTTTCTCTTCTACTGACCTTCTACATTGTATAAATAACTGTTGTATGATTTTAGGCTTTTCTCTGTCACCCAGTGATAGATAGTTGATCCATTAGCATGTAT